ATTAAATAATAGGGAAATGATGATCGGTTACAATTAAATAATAGGGAAATTATGATCGGTTACAATTAAATAATAGGGAAATGATGATCGGTTACAATTAAATAATATGGAAATGATGATCGGTTACAATTAAATAATAGGGAAATGATGATCGGTTACAATTAAATAATAGGGAAATTATGATCGGTTACAATTAAATAATAGGGAAATTATGATCGGTTACAACTAAAGCCATGACTAAAAATTCAAAGTTTAGCGTTCAAATCAAAATCAACTTAGGAAACAGATTCAAATAAAATAAAACTTAGATTAAATTTACGCTAAACAAAATATAATAACAATATACAGTTGCAAACTAAATTCACGGCGAAGAAAGTATAATAAGAGTGTACAATTGCTTATTAAACAGAGTTAGGCTATAAACATAACCCCAAATTTACCTTTATAATTCAAATCCAAAATTTATTCATTTTAGAGCTAAAATCCATGCTGAATTAAGATAAACAAGTTAAGTAATTCAGCCACAAAATCATAACATAAAAACAAAGAAAAATATCTTTCTACACCTGTCGTATCCTAGCAGCTTTACGAGTCTTGGTATGTGGCGAAAGACCTCGTCGACACTGGATATGGCAGATATACTGTGGTTGATATATTATTACATATTCTTTGTTTTCACTCGTGGGTTCTTAGAACTAATCTTATCGCCGATCATACTTAGCATTGACGAATCAGCTGCTCTGTAACAGTGCCATTTGTGGGTTGTTAAACTTATCTTTTCTGTTACATTACACTTAGTTGCTCTACAATAGTGCCATTTGTGGGTTGTTAAACTTATCTTTTCTGTTACATTGCACTCAGTTGCTCTACAATAATGCCATTTATGGGTTGTTAAACCCATCTTTTCTGTTACATTGCACTTAGCTGCTCTACAATCATATTACTTGTCAGTCGAATAACACAATTACCTGAAGGAACACTTCTCGACGAATTACGTGCATTCACTAAAAAAATCCTTCTTTATCGTTTACATACTTGTCTGAGCTGTAACATTTAGCTGTTCTTAGACGCTCTTATTCTTTGCACAGTTCTGCTTTAGCTGCAGTTGGTATTATTGTCTTAATGCAGCTTTAGTCCGGCTGTACAGCCACTTTGGCCAACCCGCCATGTACTGCACCTGTTCGTGCATTGGAAATCCTTTCCAATGGCTCATAATATACAGCTACGAAAGTGAAGTGTCTTATTGTGCACTTTGTTCTAAAGCTATAGGTTGATGAGTTGCGCTATCAAAGCGCCAATATATACAGAACTGAATGGATTGTGTGCTATTGACGCGTAGTAAAAGTAAACGTAGTCACCACATTCAAACTAACTTTCTTTTACCATTTGGCCATACCCATTCTTCTGATTTATGTCCAACTTTTCCCCAGTTATTCATGCAGACAATTATGAACTATGTATCTGTTCTTCATATCTATGCACGAATAAGGACCATAGATTACACTGACTGCAAGAGTGGCATTTCTTGAACCTGAGCAAGTTTGGTGAACAAGTCGATTGTTATTCAGTTGCTCTTTACGCCATCATTACCAATAGAACATAGTGCAATCAGAGCTTATAAACATGAGAAGCATCCACTTAGTTGTTTGCATTACTTTCCTGGCACCTGATTGTAAAACATGTGAACCTTGCATCTTCGTTGTGTCAAGTACGTCATAACTCGACAAACAGATTGCTGTTAAAGTTATTACTTTGTTTAATATATATTTCCTCTAAGACACCAAAGCAAGTTATGAATTGCTCAGCCAATATGATGGCAACAGTTATAGCTTAGGCGTTGGCAAGATAGAATGCGTTGGTCCATTTTGTTTAATAATTGATGGAAGATAACAATATTGACAACTTTTTTTTTTGTTTCAGTGAGGTATCCAATAATATTCAGGAATATTTTCTGGAATGTAGAATCTAAAAATCTCAAAGTATTCACTCGAATGATTGATTCTTTCTCCATGTAGCACATATAAGACTGTGCTGGGACCACGATTCCACATTTTGTAGTAATGTTCGTAAAGAGTTAGCTGTGGTATAGAGCACTTGCTGATATCTTCCCTCGTTTGCGTATTGGAGGATTTCGTGTCTTATAGATCAATGAACCATCAGCTGCTGAGGATTTCGTGTTTTATAGATCAAGGAACCATCAGTTGCATTACAGCTCATACGGTTCGTTATCTCGGCTACAGCACTGTGTCATTTTTTCTACCATAGGTGATCATGTGTTAGTGCTACTGTGATGGCCACATTTCAACTTGCATTACAACAAGTAATGTGCAAGATGTAGATGGGTCCTTTAGTTGTTTCAAGTTATTTCAACATCATCTGTGGTTTCCATCTGATACCTCACTATCTCCAGTTACTACTGCTGCATTATGACACTCAGATTTAGACGTTCAGTGAATGGGAAAACTTTTGTCTGCTGCCGAGAAAGCCCATAAGTGATAACATTCTGCTGCCCTGAATCATATCGAAGCGTGTTCCACATTATTGATATCCAATGTGCAATAATAGGCATTTCTTTCCAGGACCAACGAACAGTCTTGCTATAGCTAATTTAAAAGTAGTGCATTAATTAGGGTGCACTTCAGTGATTGGAAATTTTGTTCACTTTCTCAACTGAGAATCAACTTTACTTTTGTTTTGTTGCTTTGATGAGAATTTGTCCACAAAATATGTATAATAGGACATAAAATAAAATGAAAATGCGGTCTTTCTTCATTGTATGATAGCTCCAATCACTGACCTTTCAGTTCGTAGGTGCGTTATAGTGGTGACGGTCAAATCCTACTATTCGGTCAAATAAGAGTTGACGGTGGGCGCTACCGACTATAGCTGCCCTCCCTCAGGTCTATCAGCTCAAAATTAGGGACTGCTGGTGCAGAAAGCTCACTTGAACGCGAATATTCGAAACAAACAAAGACAAGTAAACGGTTTGTTTATTTGAAGTTAAGCACAAAGCTACACAATGGGCTATCTGTGCTCTGCCTACCACAGTCATATCGCTGTGCCACTGGAGACACAGTAAACGGAAGAAGACTTGAAAGTAGAGAAATTAGTTTCTCTAATTTCAAGTTTTCTGATAATTCGTTCCATTTATTGTGTTTATTCCGCTGGATGCTACATGAGATATTGTGTTCTTTTATAAACATAAAACAATCGAGTTGTTCTTCGATTATAGTAGTTATTTAGAGCCAATGTATTGCACTTTTTTATTATTTCAGAATGCATTAAGTTTCGATACCCGTTTTGGGCAAAGCACAGATAGCCAATTGTGTTGCTTTATGTTTAACTACAAACAAACCATGGCCAGGTGGTAAGGGTGCTCTACTCGCAATCTGCTGGTTCGAATCCCCCGTCCCACCAAACATGCTCGCCCTTTCAGCCGTGGGGGCGTTGTAATGTGACGGTCAATCCCACTATTCGTTGGTAAAAGAGTAGCCCAAGAGTTGGCGGTGGGTGGTGATGACTAGCTGCCTTCCCTCTAGTCTTAAACTGCTAAATTATGGACGGCTAGTGCAGATAGCCCTCGTGTGGCTTTACGCGAAATTAAAAAACAAACAAAAGCATTAGGTTTAGGTTTATTAACAGATGAAGAAGGAAAAA